GACCAGGACTGAACGCTGGCTTCAGAGGGCGCTGTGCCTGCTTCCCTCGGCTGCCCTCCCCTGCCAGGCACAGCCGCTCTCCACCGCGCACTGGCGCTTGAGGCTGAAGTGAGAACTCTCCGCCTTCTGGAATCTCCACACAACCTGCTCCCTCCACCTGGGGGTGTGGTTAGTCAGTGGGGTTCATGCCCCTCTTACCCTGCCCAGCACCCAGCGCCCTGGCCGGTTTGGCTCAGCAGTTAGAGCGTCGGCCTGCGGTCCAGAGAGACTCAGGTTCGGTTCCCGCTAAGGGCATGTACCTCGGTTGCAGTTTGTCCCCGGCCCTGGTTGGTTGTGCGAGTGGCAGCCACTCAATGTGTCCCTTTCACATCGATGTTTCTCTCTCTCTCTCTCTCTCTCTCTCTCTCTCTCTCTCGTCCTCTCTCTCCCTCCCACTCTATCTGAACAAAAAATGGAAAAAAATGTCCTCGGGTGAGGATAAAAAAAAAAAATAGTGATGTTAGCAGACATCTGCGTGTCCAGGCGCTGTGCTAAGTGCTTTATGATTTCATTTCAACCTCTCCACAATGCTGAGAGTTGGATGTTATTGTCATCCCGTTTACAGATGAGAAATCGGATGATTGAGGAACTTGGCTAAAGTCACATAGCTGGGACTCTTCCAGATGGATTTGATTCCACCGCACACATTCCGAATATAGGCAGCATAGCCAGCCGGTCTCTCCATCTGGGATTGCATAACCACCCTCAGTCAGTCTGATACGGCGCTATTATTAGTGCTCTTATTAATGAGGACTTGAGTCTCAAGACTTCCTGGGGGGTTGTGCTTGAGGAGAGATCCTCACATAGCTAACTGCCGGGGTCCTGAGGGACGTCTCACCTTTATAGGATGTCTGGGAGTCACATTCTTACAGCAACTGAGGGAGGCATGCCCAGTCAGTCCCCACTTTACAGATGAGGAAACAGACTCACTGAGGTTAAGTAGCTCACTCGAGGTCACCCAGGCAGTAATGATGGAGCTGGAATTGAACAAGGCTCTGACTCTCGCCAGATTCCATGCTTTCCCACTGCCCCATGAGTCTGTTTTGCCAAGGTCAGGAAGTTTTAGATCTTTTCATCCTGAGATGCATCCCTCCCAGCCCACCCTGGAGGGCTCTACAGACAGCTCAGGGTCAAAGAGACAGAGGCCCATGCCCTCTTGACCTTGTTATGTGGCCAGGCAACTCCCAGTTAGGAAAAGGTGCATTCTTTCCCCTCCTCTCATATTACCCAGCCTCTGGCTTCCTGGAATTTTTGTTAAAATTCCAAATCACTTGGCAATAAGTCCTCTTCCCCACAGTTTTTGCAAACAAACAGGAATCGAGTACCCTTCAGCTTCCAGACCGCACACTTTCACACCCTTTCTCGCTTTAAATTGGTGCCAGGGCCCCTTTAGGAGAAAGCAGATCTGAGAGGAAACCAAAAGTTAGATATGTGCAGGCCAGCCAGACGGAGGTTGTTACTCCCTGGGCCAAAGCTCATCTCTGAGAGAGGCAGAAACGACCCCCAGGCTCGGTGCCAGGAGATCTCAGCGCAAGTCACTGGCCTGGCACTTCCTGTGCGACCTTGGGCTCACACTTACCCTCTCCAGAGTCCCAATTTTCCCATCTCTTAGAGGAAAATAATAATGCCCTCTACTGAGAGGGTCAGATGAGATCACATATATGACGAAGTTTTATTACTATTACTATTTAATGAGCTAAAGGTCAAGTTTGTTTAATAAAACTTCAGTGGATGGAAAGGTTCTGTATCTGTGCTCTCCAATTCTGAAGTCACTAGCCACAGGTGGCTACTAAGTACTTGAGATGTGGCTAGTGCTACTGAGGAAGCGAACTTTTAATTAAAAAAAAAATTGTTTTTCTTTCTTTCTTTCTTTTCCTTTTTTTTTTTTTTGGTTCAGATAGAGTGGGAGGGAGAGAGAGGAAGAGAGAGAGAGAGAGAGAAACATCAATGTGAAAGGGACACATTGAGTGGCTGGCTGCCACCTGCACGACCAACCAGGGCCGGGGACAAACTGCAACCGAGGTATGTGCCCTTAGCGGGAACCGAACCCGGGTCTCTCTGGACCGCAGGCCAACGCTCTAACCGCTGAACCAAACTGGCCAGGGCTCTTTATTGATTTTTAGACAGAGAAGAAGAGAGAGAAACATGGATGAGAGAGAACATCGATTGGCTGCCTCCTGCATGCCCCCCACTGGGGATTGGGCCCACAACCTGGGCATGTGCCCTGACTGGGTATTGAACCGGCGACCTTTTGGTGCATGGGTTGATGCTCAACCAGTGAGCCACACCAGCCGGACCAAACTTAATTTAATTTATTTTGGTGAGCTGAAATTCACAGAAGAAAATTAACCATTTTAAAGTGAATAATTCAGTGGCATTTAGTGCATCCACAATGTTACGCAATCACCACTGCTGTCTGGTTACAAAGCATTTTTGTCCTCCCCCAAAGGAAACTCTGCCCACATGAAGCCATTTCTCCCCTTCCCCTTCCCCTCGTCCCTGGAACCACCAGGCCGCTTTCTGTCTCCATGCATTTGCCGCTTCTGGACACTTCATATAAATGCGATCACATAGCATGTGACCTTTCGTGTCTGGCTCCTTCCACTTAACAGAATGTTCTTGAGGTCCACCCTGTTGTAGCGTGTATCAGTGCGCATTCCTTTCGAATGGCTGGGTAATAATAATTTTAGTTAATTCAAATTTAAATAGCCTCGTGTGGCCGGCGGCCACTGTGTTGGACAAGCAGCGCCTCTGGAACCCTTCCCGGCAGGTGAGGAAACAGAACCTCCACGTACCTGCTGATACCTAAGCGTACCGGTCGGTGGCAGACAAGGAGTAGCCTGTGAAGGGCTCCGCAGGTTCCCCAGAGGAGCCTGGGGCTGTGGCCAGTGACTGCTGTGCCGCTGCCTTATGTACGCCAACTCATTCCACCCTCGCGGCAGCCCTTGGCGTTGGTCTGTCCTACCATCGTCCCTGGTTTACAGAGGGGAGGACTAAGGCTCAGAGTGATTAAGTCACTTGCTCAAGGTCATACAGCTGGCAAGTGGGAAGGGATGGGTCTATGAACTTGGGTCTGGACCTTTCCTAGGGCTGCGCAGTCTTTTTAGCCTGATCCAGGAGCTGTGCGGACGGAGGCAGATCCAGGACCCAGATGCACCCACACAGACCCGCACACCATGAGGCAGGCTTTCTGGTCACGTCTCATGTCTGCCTTTCTGAGCTAAGAACTGCCTGGAACCTGGTGTCTCTTTGGGAATCAGGAAAGGGTGGCTGATGGGACACCTCGGAACAGGACTAGGGAGTAGCCTCCATCAATTCCCCATCGTTTATCAATGAATAACCTGGCTTGTCGGGGCTCCTGGGGCCCTCTTTGGGCCCCCCACTATTAATTGATCTGGGAAGGAGACTCTGTTAATTGCAGACGCAGAGTAAACAGGCTGGGATAAATGGGGCTGATAGCAGAGAGCTTTCCTCGGTGCTGCCCTTTGCCCTTTGGGAAGGGGCAGTGGGAAGAGGCAGAGAGGGAAGGGGAAGGAGTGGTCCTAGGAATGTCTCTGGAGTGGGGGAGGGAGGGCCGGCTCCCTGGGGCCCGAAGAGTCTGAATGTCCTTCTGGAAGTAGAGTCCTCTGCTGGGCTCCCTGCCTGCGGTGCCCTGCCGAAGGGATGGGGGCCAGTGAGCCTCTGACAGTCATCTCTTTTCATCCCTCCCCTCGTCTGTCCATGTCATCATCCCTCCCTTTTAACATCCTTCCTTTTTCCCATTCATCCACTCCCCCGTTATCCATCTGTTTATTTCCTCCTCCTCATTTCATTCATCCATGCTTCCCTTGTTCTATCTACTCCTCTGAAAGTCCACCCCCACCTTTCCTCTCTCCCTCCCTCCTTCCCTCTGTCCTCCCCATCTCTCACTCATCTTCACATCTTCCCTTCCCCCTGTGTAGTGACCACGTGCTTCTTGAGAAAGCTAGGGAAGAGATCGGTAGGAGTCCTCTGAGCCCAGGTCATCTGAGATCGGTGGAATCCTCCCTGGGTTCCGAGTCTGGGCCCTGGCATGGCCCTGGCGGAGTAATTGCTGACTTCAGACATGCTGGCCACTGGCTCAAGGTTAGATGGAGTCTCCGTCCCACCTGACCCCCTTACTCAGTCCTAACCTGTGACCCTGTAACTCAGGCCGGCTTTCTCTCAGAGCCGAGCCTGCATTTGGGGCTCATTCTGTGAGCAGCAACACACATCAACATGAACCCATTAGTCTGAGTTTGGGGTCTGACCCCCTCTGGGATCCCAAAGCCCATACCCCAGCAGGACATGAGACAGTCCCGATGGCTCAGTTGTTTCATCCTAACAGTGCCGTGTGGAGGGCAAAGCAGAGATTGTCAAACCCCTTTTACAAATGTGGAAATTGAGGCTGAGTCCTTATAGCTGGGCAAATAAATCCCTGAACTCTCTCTCAAATGACTCAATAAAATGATGTCAAACCTGCAACCCTGTTTCCAAACCTCAAATCTGTGCCCATTTTATAGATGGGGCACCTGAGGCTGAGTGAGGAGGTGACTTTCTAGGTAGCCCATAGGCTGTTTGGTGGTGAAGACGAACTAGCAATGTGGGCAGCTCGACCCCAAGGCAGGCCCGGGCCAAGGACTCCAAGGGCTAACAGTGGCTGAATGCAATAATAACTGCTGTTTACTGAGCCCCTATGCAGTGCCAGGCACTGTCCTGGGCTCTACACATCTCAGCCAGTTCCTTCGCGTAGGAGAGCAAGATGGCAGCTAGAGAACAGACCGTTTTGTTCCCTTCTCCTCCTGCTCCCCTCCCTCCGGCCTGTGAGCTCAGGTTGATCTGGGGGGCAGAATATGTCCTCCCAGGGCCCTGCCACCACCCATTAATCCCTAACTGCTGCAGCTGGGAGATAAGATAGCACCAGCCCATTAATCAAGGCTGCCTGGCAGGGAGGCTGGGGGTGGGGTGAGACAACACCACCTCCCAGGTGGAGATAAGTCCCCTCCTCCTGGCTCCCACAGGGGTCCAGCAGTGGAGGATGCTGGGAAGTTTGGCCTCAGGTTCCAATCCCAGGTATCTGGGGGGTGGAGTGGGCGGAGCCTAAGGAGGCATGGGGCAGGGAATGCTGGGAGAGGCAGCGCCTGTGTGCAGGCCACATTGAGAGGAGCCCAGAGACCTGGGTTCCGGCTTCAGTGCTCCCTCCGCTGCGTCTGATAAGGCACTGCACTCTCTGGGGCTGTCTGAACGAGGGGAGAGGGACTGGACTAGATGACCTTTCACCATGAGCTTGCTCAATGACCAGTCTGAGGGGTGGGCTCACCTGGCAGCAGGGAGAGGGCAGAGGCACTGCCTTGGCTAGGGGACAACAGGCTGGGTGGGATTTGTCCCAGAACCTGTGTTAGTCACCCTCACAGGAGAGCAACTGGGTGGTGGCGGCTGGAGGGGGACAGCAGGGAAGAATGGGCTCTTGAGCCACGGTGTACGTCAGGGGCCGTGACGCACCCTGGTTACGGACCTGGGTGCTGGACTCGTGCAGTTTGAGTCAAGTCCCGGGCCTGCTACCTGCCTGTGTAATCTTGGGTGGGTTCCTCAACCTTCTGGCGCTTTGGTTTCCCCATCTGTACAGTGAAGATGATAGCATTTCCGTCGGATTTTGTTAAGGAAATAAATGTAAGGTGCTTAGCTCAGTGCCGGGCAGATTCAAGTGCTCAGTAAATGTTCGTTGTTATTCCTTGTCTCGTGGCAGCTGCCGGGCCTGGACTCTTCAATCTCTGTGACCACAGATAGGGAGATTGGGGCAGCTGGACCCCAAAGGAATTGCTGGCTTCAGGATGCCAATGATAAAGGGTATGAGTTATATTTTTATGACTAATAACAACAAATTTAAAACAGCAAACATTTATTATCCCAAGCTTCTGGGAGTCAGGAATTCAGGAGTGGCTCGCAGGAGCAGCTCTGGCCCAGGAGCCTCAAAGGCCGCAGTGGAGATGTTGTCCGGGGCTGCTGTTGTCAGAAGGCTTGCTGGGGTGGAGGGTTTGCTCCCAGTTCACCCAGGTGGCTGCTGGCCACAGGTCACAGGGGCAGCTTGCGTGTCCCCAGGACATGGTAGTGGGCTTCCCGGGGGGAGAGAGGGGGTGGTCCTGGAGGAAGTGCAGCACCTCTCATGGCCGCTCCCTGAAGTCACACGCCCTCACTTCTGCCTTTTCCTGTCCACTGGAAGGGTCACTGAGGCCCGTCCACACTCAGAAAAGGGACGAATGTCAGAGACAGACACGTGCAAAACATGGCAGTAACCACAACACTGGCAGCTACTCTGCCCAGGTGCTCTGTGCTGGGAACTCGACACATGTGATGGTGAATCCTCACAAGTACTTTCTACATCGGGAATTATGTTTCTTTTATGGGTGAAAATACAGTGGTTCAGAGAAGTGCCCATAGTAATGTCTGCTCCTGGGGCCAGGCCATTCCCCACCGCCAGCTTCGGCCACCCCAAGCCAGCCTTGGCGTCGAAGCCACAGTGACCACCTAGGGTAACAAGGTCTCCTCGGATGAAGGGTTAGAAACAAGTTGTCATGCACACACGTTCAGGCTATGTGAAGAGCAGGGATTTTTAGAGCCACAGTCACCTGGGCTTGAATTCTGACTCCACAGCTTCGTGCCTCAGTTTCCTCATCTGTGCGGTAGAAGTGAGTGTCCATCCTCATGACTGCTGCAGGAATGGAAGAGGTATGTATGTAGTGGATATGTGCTGCCGTTATTATCATGGGGTGGGACCAGATAGGTCTCAGGGCTGAGCTGCTAAAGGGCTGTCTTCCCCCTGGTGGAAGCAGTGTCCCCCTTCCTAGTCTGGAGTCCTCCATTCAGGCCTTGCTCGGCAAAGACAGAGCATCTGAGGCATGTTGTTGCTTTGCCAGCCCTGAAGGCAGGGGCTGAGGCCAGGGTGTGCAAGCCTGCGGGCAGGGGTTCCCTCGCTGCAGCAGGACTGAGCCAGGGTTCCTGGGGGAGAGTTCCTGAGCCTCTCCTGACTTCCCAGCGTTTCCAGGGTCTCCAGTCTGGAAGGGATCCCCATGCACTTTCCCACTTCCACCAGCAGAGGGAGCGGGTGCTGTGTCTGGGAAGCTCCAGGAGGCCTGGCAGGGGGTGCTCCTGGGTGGGGTGGAGTAGGGTGATTGGAGTAGAGCTGGCAAGATTGGGGGCTTTGCCCCCACCCCCGAGGGAGTAATCTCTGGAGCTCTAGAGTCCGGGAGATGGGATCGTGGAAAAGGAAGAGGAAGGATGGTGTTTCCTGGGCCTGAGGTTTCGGATCTCAGTCCCTGCCTCCCTTGGGATACAGAGAAAGAACTGAAGCCATTGTTTTTCCCTCCATAGTCCATTCAGCACATGTCGTTGAGTACCTGTTGTGTGCCTGGCACCCTGACAGGCACTGGGAGCCCATGTCAGAGGTGGACTTTCAAAGGGCTGACATTTGAGTCGGGGGCTAGGACAAGGCAAGACATACGACTGGAGTAATTGCAAATGTGACGTAAGGATGGAAGGCTGGGAAAGGCGATGCCTGGGGCCCATGCTCACTGCTCACCTAGGTGACCAGATGGGATTGAGGTGGAGCCAGACTGTGAGTCTGGGAACTGCCCTTCTGAGCCATGGGCTCCTATCCTCACCAGAAATCACTGCAAGGCACCATCAGGACCTGGTAGTGACAGCAGGGTGGGCATTTAATCCACTAGCCTCCTGCAGGATCATCCATGGAACAAGCCTGCTGGAGGCCTGGAGTTGGTCAGGACTGCCTTCTAGTCTGGCTTGGTCACTTACCAACTCTGTGACCTTGGCTAAGACACCTGCCTTCTCTGTTTTGGTATCTGCAAAGCAGGGATAAGGATTCCTACATAGTGTAAGGACTGGGATGTGTTCCTCCTAGCTCCTCCTCTGGCCAGCTGTGAGGCCTTAGGCATATGTGTTAGTTTTCTATTGCTGCTATAACAAAATTCCACAAACTTAGCAGCTTAAAACAACACATATTTATTATGTGACAGCTCTGTGGGTCAGGAGTCCAGGCACAGGTTAGCTAGGTCCTCTGCTGAGGGTCTCACAAAGCTGTGATCAAGGTATCAGCTGGGAGTTAGGGTCACTGAGGCTTGAGGTCGTCTGCCAAACTCATGTGATCTTTGGCAGAATTAATTTCTTTGCAGCTATGGAACTCATGGGGGTTGCATCTTCAGAGCCAGCAGGAAAGATCTTTCTGCTGTGTCACCTTCTGTAAAAGAGTTCAGCTGATTAGGCCAGGCCCACCCAGGATCATCTGTTGGTTGTGACCCCTTTGGGGGTCAAACGACCCTTTCACAGGGGTCGCCTAAGACATAACAGTAGCAAAATTACAGTTATGAAGTAGCAACGAAAATAATTTTATGGTTGGGGGGTCACCACAACATGAGAAACTGTATTAAAGGGTTGCGGCATTAGGAAGGTTGAGAACCACTGTTTTAGATGAACTCAAAACCAACTGATGAAATATTCCATTGTATTTGCTGGTCCCACCCATTCTGAAAGGGAGGGCATTTATTTAGGCCATGTACACCCAGGGGCAGTAATCTTGGAGGCCATCTTAGAATTACCAACACGACAAAAATATTTGTAACTAATTATCATGTAATAATCAGTAATAATAATTTTTTAAAATCCTCACCTGAGGATACTTTTCCATTTTATCTTCGGATAGAGTCGGAGAGGGTGGGAAGGAGGGAGAGAGAGAAAGAGAGAGAGAAAGAGAAAACATAAATGTGAGAGAGACACATCGATTGGTTGCCTCTAGGGCCAGGGACAGAATCGCAACTGAGGTTCATGCCCTTGACCGGAATAGAACCTGCGATTCTTTGGTCCGCGGGCCGATGCTCTAACCACTGAGCAAAACCGGCCAGGGCAGTAATAATTATTTTAATTTATTCTTAAGTTTTGAAAAAACAAACACAGAAGAAATGTCAGGTTTAAAGACATTGTTCAAATTCAGTTAACTATTTCACAAAACTGCATTGCAGTTCTCAGCTCCTACTGCATCCCGTTTTCCATTTTACACACAAGACAAACCTCCACGTGGTCCTTAGAATGACAGAATTGCAGGAACTCAAGTTCTGCTGTTTTGTTTTCAGACTCAATGGGCTCTCATTTTTTACTTTGAATTAGCTGTTTAAGTGCAGAAATGTGCAGGACCATAGGGTTTGAGGCACAAGCTGCACCTGAAGCGAGTGTGAATGATTCTGAACAGTTAGGAACTTATTCTAGAAACACACCGGCGGGAAGCGAGCAAGATATCCTTGGGCAGGTGAATGGATAGACAGTGGTCCATTCAGACAACAGAATATTATTGAGCGAGAAAAAGAAGTGAGCTCTCAAGCCATGAAAAGACCCAGGGGCACCTTCACTGCTTATTGCTAAAGGAAAGAAGTCATCTGAAAAGGCTACATACTGTGGGATTCCAACTAGATCACATTCTGGGAAAGTCAAAGCTGTTGAGACAGTAAAAATACCTGTGGTTTCCAGGGGCTCAGGGAGGGATGAACAGGTGGAGCACAGGGGATTTTTGGGCAGTGAAACTATTACATATGATACTAGAATGGTAGGTACATTACACATTTATGAAAATTCATAGACCATACAGTGCAAAGAGTGAACTCTAATGTAAACCACGGACTTTAGTTAATAATAATGTATCAATATTGGTTCGTCAATTGTAGCAAATGTACCACATGAATGGAAGATGTTAATAACAGCAGAAACTGTGTGCACTCAATTTGTCTGTAAACCTAAAACTGCTGTAAAAATAGTCTGTTAATTATAAATAAAAAATCCACATGCGTGGCTACATTTGTGTGTCACAGGCTGGCCAGATGCCAGGAGCTTTCTGAATTGCTGCCATGCAGAATATGATACACACGAAAGGATAAGTAGTAAAAATGTGCCAATTGGAAGTTGACATGCATTAAAGCCCCAAAGTAACCACAGTTCTTGTTTAGAACTAAGTTCTTGTTTAGAATTTAGGCCAGCAAAATATTATTTTTTAGAGAAGGGGTATTTTATCTGATATAGTTTAATCCTCACCGAAGATTTAAAAAAATTTTTTTACGTTTATCTTCAGATAGAGCGGGAGGGAGAGAGGGAAGAAGAGAGAGAGAGAAACATCGATGCGAGAGAGACACATCGACTGGTTGCCACCCACACGACCCCACCAGGGCCGGGGACAAACTGCAACCGAGGTACATGCCCTTAGTGGGAACTGAACCTGGGACTCTCTGGTTTGCGGGCCGACGCTCTAACCGCTGAGCCAAACCGGCTGGGGCTTATCTGATATAGTTCAAAATTGCTGCTTGGTGATAATAAAATGGAGACCCATTTTTGGTTTATTTTACTAGTGATTTTAAATGATCTAAAATTGCGCTTCTGTGTTGCCTGCACTGGGGTGGACCATTCCCACAGCCCTGCTCTCGGTCCCACGGCAACAAGTCAGGGATTCTCCATCTTCCGACAGGGTGTCCCTGAATGACGCATCCTATGTCACAAGGCCTTGCTAACAGGCAGGAAAGGAACCATTTCTTTCTTTACAAAAAATATGTTTTTTGTATTGATTTTTTAGGGAGAGAGATAGAAACATGGATGCAAGAGAGAAACATCGATTGGTTGCCTCCTGCACACCCCCCACGGGGAACTGAGCCTGTAACCCTGGCATGTGCCCTGACCGGGACTCGAACCAGGACCTCTCAGTCCATGGGACAATGCTCGACGTTGGCCAGGCAGCAACTATTTCTTTTCTCATGTGCTTTTAAAAACTTTTTGTATTTAATAGAGTCTATTACTATTATTTTAAAAAAATCCTAACCTGAGGATATTTTTTCTATTTATCATCAGATAGAGTGGGAGGGAGGGGGAGAGAGAAACATTGAAATGAGAGAGACATATCAACCGATTGCCCCCCACACGACCAGACCAGGGCTGGGGATGAACCGCAACTGAGGTATGTGCCCGTGACTGGAATCGAACCCGCGACTCATTGGTCCGTGGGCTGACGCTCTAACCGCTGAGCCAAACCGGCCAGGGCTGGACTTCGTTTTTTAAGTGCCGTTTTAGGTTCACAGCCAAACTGAACACAAAGTACAGTGTTCCCATATATGCTTCATTTCTACACATGCACAGGCTCCCCGCCATCGACATTTGGCACCATAGCGGTGCATCTGTTACAATCGATGAATCTGCATGGGTACATCCACAGTTGACATCAGGGTTCACTCTTGGTGTTGTATATTCTATGGGCTTGGACAAATGTATAATACATGTAACCACAATTATAGTATTATGCAGAGTAGTTTCACTGCCCCCCACACCCCTGTGCTCTGACGCTTCACCCCTCCCTCCTCCACAGCCCCTGACAAGCCTTGTTCTTTGTGCCGTCCCCATAGTTCCGCTTCCCAGAATGTCATGGAGTTGGAATCACACATAGGCAGCCTTTCAGATCGGCGCCTTTCACCTAGTGCTACGCACGTTTCCGCCACGTCTCTTCGTGGCCTGATGGCTCACTTCTTTTTCTTGCTGAGTAATATTTCATGGCATGGATGTGCCACCATTTACTCATCCTCTCATCTCCCAGGCTCCTTCCTAAGCCAGGCACTGGCAAGGGGAAAGGCATGACCCCATGTGACCAAGTGACAGGTGTCAGTCCTGGGGCGGGGGAGAGTCCAGCCTCCTCTGAAGCTCAGGCTGCCTAACACACGAACACATTCTTCAAGAGTCATTGAATGAGGCTGGGATGGTGACCGACAATGTTGCTCCAGGGGCCATATCTTTTTAAATTAATAAATTATATTTTTGTCTATAAAATAATTCATTTTAGAAAATCTGCATTAAAAAACCCCACAAAAAACCACTTGCCCTGGCCGGTTTGGCTCGGTGTCGGCCTGCGGTCCAGAGAGACCCGAGTTCGGTTCCCCGCTAAGGGCGTGTATCTCAGTTGCGGTTTGTCCCCGGCCCTGGTTGGGTCATGTGAGTGGCAACCACTCAATGTGTCCCTTTCACGTCGATGTTTCTCTCTCTCTCTTCCTCTCTTTCCCTCCCACACTATCTGAACAAAAAATGGAAAAATGTCCTCGAGTGAGGATAAAAAAACAAACCAAAACCCCACTCAATCACAATCCCAATTTTTAGTGATTACTATTATTAGCGTTGTGCAGCAGCTCCTTCAGGAGTTTTCCAGGTAGTTGTAGTGACACACATAATGAGACAGTAATCTGGGACACTTTCTCTTCCACTTTTGGCTGCGGCATGAAGACAAAGTTACCACGTGTAGAAAGAGTTGTAGGGCAGACACTGTGGTTGAGAACTAGTGAGACGGCTCCTCTGTATTGAGGGCAAACGAGGGGTAAGAACTTGAAATTTGGGGGAATTTTGAGAGAATGTGCTGTGAGCCCCAACTCCTTTAGAGGTCCCCAACCCCAAGGGGAAGGGGTTCCCCTCATCTCAAGCCTGGTAGGACGGGCTTCAAGGAGACCTATTGGAGAAGCTGGTATGTGTCACCTGGGGTTTGAGGGGCCTAGGAGGCCGTGTCTTATATAAACCCAAGGAGTCTAAAGGTAGGCGGCTATGGCTTTCAGCTTGAGAAGGCAGAGCAGAGAGAGTAAGAATTTAAAAAATAACCACAGCTCTGGCCAGTTTTGCTCAGTGGTTAGAGTGTCAGCCCGCAGATCAGAGAGTCCCGGGTTCGGTTCCCGCTAAGGGCATGTACCTCGGTTGCAGTTTGTCCCCAGTCCCCACTGGGGTCGTGTGGGTGGCAGCCACTCGATGTGTCTCTCTCACTTCAAAGTTCCTCTTTCTCTTTCTTCCTCCTGCTCTATCTGAGGATAAATGCAAAAATGTCCTCGGGTGAAGATAAAAAAAAACAGAAACAAAAAACTCACAACTAAACCTTTGGGAGCCAACTCCACTTTTACAGAGGGTGAGGCCAACAGTGCGCATGTTCCCTGTGGGCCAGCTGCGGGCTGTGAGAGAGACAGGAGGCCTAGAGCTGCTTTAGATTAGGCTTGAGACAACCATGGGTGATGGGACCCCAACCAAGGATCAGCGGGACTGGGTCATTGGGAACCAGGTGTTTAAGTACAGTTTAGACCTTCAGAGGGACTTTTCTCAGGCCTGAGCTCTGTCTCCTCAGCTTCCTCAGGCTCCTCCCATCTGGTGTCACCACCTTCTTTCTGTGGATGCTTTTCCCCACCTCTTCAGATTCCAGAGTCCCAAAGCCTCGCTCCTTCCTGTTTCTTGCAAAACTCTGCCCTCTCAGGGTTCAGCCAGACGTTAATAGGATCTCTCTCTGCCCAGACTTTTGCTTGTTAAAAATTAGGGGAGGGCTTTGACAAGGAAGACAAGTTTAGACATTCTATATCAGGGCTGTGACTAGTGTTTTACTTAAGGGCAGCACATCTTACTCCTGTAAACAAAACAAAACAAAACAAAAAACAAAAAAACAACATACCCACAGTGTAGATTCACATGAGGAATGCCTTGCCACATGCTTTTTATCCTTTCCTTTTGGAACTTCTACTAAAAATATGATAGACTTTTTTACTCTATCTTTTATGTCTCTTTCTCTCACTTCTGTATTTTCCATCTTTAATCTCTCTGGGTTGCATTTTGAATAGTTTCTTTAGACCTCACTTCTAGTTCACTAATCCTCTTTACATCTGTGTCTAATCTGCTGTTAACCCTATCCCTTGAGATCCCAATTTCATTCCTCCCCCCCTCCCCCCCCGAGCTAGAATTTCTATTTGGTTCTTTTCAAATCTGTTATGTCACTTTTTATTGTTTCTAGTTCCCTGCCAGATTTTTCAAGTTTGCCTTTTTATTTCTTTGAACATGGTAAGCACAGTTATTTTTAGTTTACATGGATAATACTGGTACCTTATGTACTTTTTGATCTGTTTCTATTGTCTGCTGTTTCCTTAGTTCTTCTCATGAACGTTGGAATAATATCTTGAAGCCTTGGATTCAAACTACAGAAAATATTTTTGCTGCAGCCAATTGCTGGGGTGTTACCATTCTAGGAACACCACAATTCAACACCAAGACTTGCTATTTCCTGGTAAGAAACTAGGGTACAAGCAAGGACTGTTTCATGCCAGGTTCATTTCCTGCCTCCTCTGCACCCCATTCCTCTGTGGTTCCACTTCTGGGTAGGGCATGGGTTTTCAGAGTTCCCACCTATGCCAAGCTCTGGGTTTTCCCTTCTTCCCTCCCAGCCCTGAGGATACTCAAAGCCCAGCTCCTGCTTGAGTACCTGTTTCTCCTGCTTGAGCAAATGTCCTCAGACCAAAGCAGCTTTGTAGGCTGGGCTTATATCTCTGGATTCTTGTTTTCTTCCAGATCTCAGCCCAGCAAATCCTCAGTAGTTTGAAATCTTTGGTGTTTTTTTAAAAAAAAGTGTTTTTCCAATTTTTGGCCCAACTTCCTTTTATTGTCCTCAGTGGAGAACTGGTCTGAATTACCTTGTTTACTGTGACCAGGAGTTCACACGATGAGTGAGTGATGTGACCTTACTACTTGAAAAATAGCAACCCTGGCCGTATTCACTAGAAGAGGCTTTGTTGCCTTCCAGGGCTCATTTCATCACAAAGAGACACATACTGGCCAAGAACACATTTGTCTTAGTCATGCAGGATGAGTATTGCCAGCCTCATATAGTTATTCTCTTGGCTCAAATTTTTCTCATGCCACAGGCAGAGGTAGCAATAGTCAAAGAATCAGGGGTCTGATTTCAGTCCTGGCTTTGCCACTCCCTCCTTTCCTGCCACGGATAAAGAAGTAACTTCCCCTTTGCTTTATCAATAGTGTCTCTGCAACATAGGATTAAACATCAGAGATAATGCCTGTCAAAATGCCCAACATGCTGCTTGACATATTTTGATGCTCAAAACTATTTGTTGAATATTAATCTAAACCAGTTACATGACTATATCAATTTAGTTGCCTATACTAGTAACATCTGCCAAATAACAATAGCTTTAAAAAAGCGTTCATTTCTCTTTGGTGTACAGACGTCTGGAGGCTGGTCGTCCAGGGCTGGGGTAGCGACTCCACATTGGTCAGGGCCTTAGACACCTTCCGACTTGCACCTCCTCTGGCCCTAGAGGCTGCTCAGGCTCCTGTGTTCAGGCAGCAGGAGGAAGACAGGAAAGAGCACCCTCCCATTCGAGGAGACCCGCTGGCAGTCCTGCACGGTCCACCTGCTTGAGCTCCGGGCTGGGCCTTGCATACGGCTCACAGCAGAGCTGCCGGCAAGTGGGGAAGTAGACTCTGAGCTGGGTGGTTCTAGGCTATTTGCAGGGTTCTTTTTCTGAGAAGACAATGAAAAGGGAAATTGGTGACTTTGGAGTCCTTTTCCTCGTTGAACTTCAGTTTCCTCTTTTATAGGTGGTGGTGGTGGCGGCACTGTGGGGATTTTGGGTGGTACCGTTCTTTCCTGTGCAGAACGGCTCTGAGGCAGCGCAGGACACTGAACCCCCCCGGGCCGCATCCGTTCACTGTCAGTAGTACCCTAGGCACGGGGACCATCAGAACAGCCTCACTCTTTCCTAACTGCCCAGGAACAGTACTACTTACTTCCTGTTGAGAATCCTTAGCCAAGATGAATCTAAAGTCCTTCTAGGAGTGGCATCTTGTGAGAGCCTGTAATTCTATAATGCTTGGGTCTCAGTAACTTGATCTGTTGAATGGGCAAGCAGAGGGGAGAAGAAGGCAATGCAAACGTCTACTTCTTTAGTCCTCCCCAGCTTTGTGGGGAGAAAGGAATCATTATGCAGCTAGAGTCAAGGTCATTGGCTCCCAGGTGGTCAGAGATGGAGAAAGGACAGAAGGAAGGAAGGAGTCAGGACAGAACTTTCCAAGGAATGAGAGGTAAGGGAGGCAGAAACCAGACCATCTAGTCCTAGGAGGGGCCCACTGCCCCTTGCCAAGGCCCTTTTCCCTGCCCTGGCATTAGAGGTGGAGGGAGAGCCAGCTCCCGAGAAGCTGGCACGCTAGCCTTCGTCTGTCATGATGCCCTCATCAGCGGCTCCCGTGTCCATTGGCAGGACCTCATAAGTGGGGCACGCCTGACCTTTAGGGCAGCAGATGCTACATCTGGCTGATCAAAGATCCGGGGCCCAGCCCCTTCCTGCCCCTAGTCCCCGCCAGGGGTGGCGGTTAGGAGGATCATGGTGTGCTCAACCCAGTGGGCTCTGATGGAGCAGAGGGAGGAAGTGTGAGGCTTGGGAGTCATGCTGCCTGAGTTCAAACCTGGTTCCCACACTTACTGTGTGACATTGGACAAGACCTCTCTGGCTTGTTCCCTCCACACAGTGGAGATACTAATAGTAGGCATCGCCCAGAGTTGTTCAGTATGAGCAGGGCACAGAGATAAGTGGCAGTGCTTGTCTTTCTGGGTGGAGCCCCACCTCTCGCTGTTCCTGGCCAGGTGACTCTGATGCATACTATTATGGCTTCTAGAGTTTAAGCAATTGCCTCAAGGTTTACAGTTGGCCAAAGCTTGTGCTCCTCATCACTCCTTGCCGGAGAGTGCTGTTCTGGGAGGGAGTGGGGAGTGGGCCAGCCAAGGCCACGGAGCAAGCACAGCCAATGTGGGTGCCACTCAGAATGGGACCTGAGCCCCCAGTTGCCCTCAGCTGTGCCCATCACAGGTCAGGAACTCAGAGAACCACCTCCATGCCACCTGCTCCTGTGCAGACAGAGACACAGGAAGCTTGCATGCAGTGTTCCAGTGTTGCCTTCAGCTGTATCTCGGAGCATGTGCGGGAGCCTGAGGGAGGAGCTGGCCCAGAGGAAGTAAATGGTCCTTGGAGCTGCCCAAGCCATAGGCAGGGAGATTTCAAGGGACCAATGAATGAGCTCCCTGATTTAGCTGGCGGCTCAGGGCCTGACTCGCTTGCTGCTGGGAAGGTTGCTGGAGAGGGTCTCGATGGCCAGCAGGCAGGGCTGAGCCCTGAGGGCACACAGTGAGGCCAACAGAGCCACCACTGGGGCACCTCTCACCCCCCTCCACAGAGCCCCCTCCTGCCTGCCCTCGGCTCCCTGTCCTGGGTGTGGGGAAGGAGAGTGAGGATAGTGGCCGGAGGGGGCAGCAGGGGCCCGTGGCAGACACGCTGGGTCTGAGCCAGAGACCCAAGCACCAGTCCTGGTTCTCATTCATCACACTGAGCACAACGTTTAAGCTAACAATAATTACGGCACTATCATTACAGATGCCAGTGAATAAATAATGAATATGAGCTAACAAGGAGAATAACTATTTGTTTTTAATGCTTACTATGTGCTGGGCATTATGCCAAGTGCTGTCTATAACTCCCTCCTTTAACCCTGCTAGTCTTAGGAGGAAAGTACCACCCGCCTTGGGTCCAGAGAGGAAACTGCACTGTGAGGCTGGGCTTACATCCCATTGACGGGTATGAACCATTTTGCCCTCCTGGACTTCCTCTTGCTCAATGATTTTATTTATTTATATTATTATTTTTAAAAATATGTTTTTATTGATTTTTTTTTAGAGAGAGAGGAAGGGAGAGAGACAGAAACATTGATGTGAGAGAGACACATCAATCAGCTGCCTCCTGCCCAGCCCCCACTGGGGATGGAGCCTGCAACCCGGGCATGTGCCCTGATGGGGAATCGAATGAGGGTCCCTCAGTCCATGGGATGACGCTCAACCCACTGAGTCACACCGGCTGGGCAGCAAATGATTTTAAATACTTTTACCCTGATCACATGACAGCCTAGTGATTAGAAAGAAATGAATAAGGGATGTGACAAGTGTTTGTAAGTTCATCCATTATCCCATCAACAGTGATTTATCAAACCCCTGTCTTGTGCTGGTTGCTCTTCCAGGGAACAGAGATGGAACAGTGACCAGCAGAGCAGGCAAGGTCTGCCGTGGTCCCCGTCATGGGGCCTGAACCCGAGCATGGGGGTGGGGTAGGGAGACACACAACACATTAATGAATGAAGTATGGTGATTCCTCATGGTGCTCAGTGCTCTGAATAAAATAAGACAGGTGACGGGACTCACCTGACCTCAGGGCTGGTAAGAGGAGCCATCTGAGCAGGTGACACTTGGAGTTGGAGCCCGCCTACTCAAAGAATGTTACCTGTAAGAGCAGAGCAAGGAAGGTCTGGCCTGTGGCTGGAGCACGGTAAGTCGGGGGGAGAGCAGTATGAGAGGGAGACAGAGTCAGGCCTTAAGAGTCTGTGGACACTGGCAGGCAGTCTGGATTTTATTCTCATGGTAATGGAATCCGGTTGTATCAGTTAGAAACACTTGTGTTGCAGAAAACTAGACCAACAATGGCTTACATAAATAGAAGTGTATCTTTCCTGCTTGTAAAGAAGCCTGCAGCCAGATGGCTGTTGATGCCAGTTCAATGGGTGACGACATTAGGATTGACATGCTCTGGCCTGTCCTGGCTGTGGCTGCTCTAGGTGTCACATCTACATCCAGGGCAGAGTCTGCTCACTTCTCAGTAATCAGAAACTGCTCGTAGCTGCAAGGGAGGCTGGAAAGGAAGTCAAGTTTAGGAATAGACTTCTCTGGCCCCAAGAGGGGAGGCAGGAAGGAGAGCTGGGGCTGGAGGCTGGTGCAGGTGAGCCAGCCAGTGTCTGCTGCACCAGTGTCTCCCAGTCGTTCATGGGTACAGGATGGTTTGGGTGGGGCCTGAGAGTTTGCTTCTTAAGCTCTCCAGAGATGCCGATGTGGCCGGTCTGTTGCCCACACTTTGAAGAACACGGGTAGACACCACTGGAGAGTTTTAAGTAAGAAAATAGTTACCTAATTTTTATGGTTGTGTAGTGTAGTGTAGGGGGCAAGAAGGGACACTAGGAAGCTGCCCTGGCTGGTTTGGCTCAGTAGTTAGAGAGTTGTGGGTTCCATTCCAGTCAAGGGCACATACCTGGGTTGCGGTTCAGTCCCTGGCCCTGGTTGGGGTCATGTGGGAGGCAATCAGTCGATGTGTCTCTCTCACATCAATGTTTCCTTCTCTCTCTCTCCCTCCCTCCCTCTCTCCCACTCTATCTGAAGATAAATGGAAAAAAATATCCTCAGGTGAGGATTAAAAACAGAGTCCAGAAACCACGATCACTTGGGTGGTTTTGAAAAAAAATTTTAAATTAAAATATTGTAAAACATAACGAAATTATCATTTTAATTTTATAATTCAGTGGCATTAAGTACATTCATAATGTTGTACAACTATCACAACCATCCATTTCCAGAACTTTTTCATCTTCCCAAACAGAAACTCGGTACCCAATAAATAATAGCTCTCCAATCCCCACTCCCTACTCCGTCTCTGACAACCTCTATTCTACTTTCTGCCCCTACACATTTGATGATTCTAGTAGTAGTATATAAGTAGTATCATACAGTATTTGTCATTTTGTGTCTGGCTTATTTCACTTAACATTATGACTTCAAGGTTCATCTACATTGTGAAAGGAATAGAGAACTTTATTCCTTTTTAAGGCTGAATATGCCATTGTGTGTACAAACCACATTTTGTTCATTCATTCATCTGTCCATGGATATTTGGGTTGTTCCCACCTTTTAGCTATTGTGAAAAATGTTGCTGTGAACTTGGGTGTGCAAGTATCTGAGTCCAGTGGTTGGTGTTGAGGTGTTTGGGGTGGGACCATCAGAACTTCAGACAGTAGGAAGAGAAGGCAGGAACAGAATCAAGAGTGACTTCTGGGCTTTGGCGTGGTGGTGGTGGCATGTATTAAGATGGGCTAGAAGTTGTAAAGAGCTCTACAAATAGCAGATAGTATCCTTATTTTATTCAGATTGTTTTAAGGAGTTATCAGCTATGAAATTGCCCTAATAAAGGGACCAGAACATCACTTTAATAACTCATGCATTTGGGGCCTGGGGACACAGGTTCCACATTCCTTCAGTAACTGCCTGATTTACATCAGAAGTTGGCAGACGATGGCCCAAGACCAAGTCCAGCCCACCACCTGGTCTTGTACAGCCTGAGAGCTGAGAACAGTCTTCACAGTTTTAAATGTAAATGTGAGAAAAGACCATGCAGCCCTTTAGCTAGAACAGTTGTTCAATTTTCCCTCTTGGCTGGTGAAACCTAAAATATTTACTGTCTGGCCCTCTACAGAAAATGTTTGCTGACCCCTGGCCTAAAATAATTGGTTTGGCTCAGTCTGAAGAAGTGTGCTCAAGTGGAAATGAAGAAAAAGAACAAAAAAACTCTCAGAACCCTCTTCACCATGGCTGACCGGCTTCTGTGCCGCCCCTCCTCTCGCGGAGTGTGTGCTGCTCACATGAGCCAGTCGCCACCCTGTCCCTCTGCAGGTCACTGCGGTTACCAGCCCTGTCGGTGAGACCGTGGACTGGATTAATGCCAGTGCAATGCTGGTTACCAGAACAAATGATTTATTTTAGCATCTGCATTTTAAATGGTGTCCGTGCTTCCCGGGAAGCTGTCTGGTTTAGGAAACTGCCCATAATAAATGCATGCAATACATTTATTATTTTGAACCTAAGGAAGGGTATTCTAGTTTTATAAGAGAAAATCAGTTTCTCCTCCCCCTCCCCCAAATACATGCTGCATAAATAGTTTGAAACAATGGTGTGAATGGTGCTAAATTATCAGCTTGCCAAAATGCAATCACGTCTTTTATTTTTCCAATTAATCATGCCAAAAAAAAAAAAAATCCATTTGCTAGTATCTTCCTAGTGAGGCTTCCTCTCTACTCAATTATCCAAGAATCCTCGGCGTTTACTTGGTTCATTAGACTCAGCCATGCTTTGAGGTGCTGAGTGGGAAGGTGTCTGGAGGGGGTGACAGGTCCATGCAGGGCCCCCGGCTTCCAAGGTTTGAACTGTTGTTCCCAGTCCGGGGTGGTCCTGTGCCTCCTCACCTGCTGCCGCAGGGATGCTGTGGCCTGGATCTCCTGCAGGGTGCAGGGCTCTTGAAGTTCTAATTGTTCCGGTTTGTTCTCACTGTGTCCAAGGGACTGGGTCCTAGGAGGGAGTCAGCTTCTGCCCCAAGCTGTGCCTCTTTCTTGAGACTTCAGGGCCCAGGATTAGAACTAGACTTTGGGCCTCTCTTTTTCGTGGCCTCTGTTTTTTGTGTCTGTGGTGTGATTTCCAGCAAGTTGATCTTGGCCAGCATCAACCCTCTTCCCTGGAGAACTTATTACCACATCCCTCTTGGAGGGTGCAGGGCTCGGGCAGGAGACGCTCTAGATCCTTTGCAAATTCATCGCCTGCTCCTCAGTAATCCCTTCTGCGTACCAAGGGAGATTGGGAGTGATGGTCTTTGTCAGGCCATAGGATGTCCAGGGCAGTGAATGTCTACTCACTTCAACTTTGCATAACCAAGAAGGGTTCCTGGGAGTCCCCCCCCCCCGAACATTGGTCCCCAAGTGATGTGCTGGTTCACCTGGCGGAATTGGCCAGCAGCTTTTGTTGTGCAAAGTTCATTTATTTATTCAACAAATGCTTATAAAGCATCACCTGTGTGCTGGGCTCTGTCCTAGGCACTTGAGACACACCCGTGAGCAAAACAGAAAAAGACCCCTGCCCTCGTGAGGCTACATGGGAGTATGTTAAGCTCTTCTCTGGAGTACAGCGCAGTGCTGAGGGCCGAGAGGTGGAAGGACAGGTTGCTGTGCACGTGTGTGTCCAGGGCACTGGGAAAGGCTTCACATGAGAAGAGACATTTACTGGAGTCTTGAATGCTGAGTGGGATTCACCAAGGCTCACAGGGACAGGCTTGGGGAACAGACTTCCCATTTTCTTGCAAATAAATCAGCTCTGGGTCACTCAGGGGAAGAGGCACCTGTAGGATGGGCTGGGGCCACTGAGGGGCTTTGAATGTTGTGCAAAGGAGTTTGGACTGTGCGTGTATAGCCTCATTTTCAGGGACCTCAGTAGTGAGCAACTTGGGGGACCATTCACAAAGATCTCAAGGTGAGTGGCGCCCTCTACAGCTGTGTCCTGCCTCTCCTCACTGGCTTGTGGTCTACCCCCGCTGTCCAGGGCTGGCTGTGCGGGTGCCTGTTGGAGGGTGCCCTCATGCGCTGTCTCATCCCTGACCTTTATGGTGATCGCACTGAATAACTTCTCTCCTTCCTAGGTGCCTGCATGCCACACCTCTTGATTTAGGACCGGAATTCATTAGCACCTGCTTTGTTCTCTCTCTGCGCATCTTCAAGGGCTCGGATGATTCTCTAGGTCTGTCTGTCTCAGCTCACAGTGGTTCTTTGTATATAGTGTTTCTGACTGTGGGCTCAGCCCCAACACTGGGGCTCTGAAACGGCAGCAGGTGGGACTTGGACCAGGTGTCCTCAAGTTTGGTCCTTGGACGATGTGAGCCTGCATCATCCTATTGGAAGAAAATGCAGAGCCCTCCTCAGATCTACTGAGTTTGAGTCTCCAAGAATGAGGCATGGAGTCAGCTTTTTGGACACTCCCCCCCCAATAGTTCTTACTGAGGACCACTGTACAAAACAGAAGCTCCTTAACATTTTGGGGAACTGGGGTGAGCTTTTATTGATTGAATTTCATGCATTTAGCACCCAGAGATAGTGGAACCTTGGCTCTGGCCTCTGCCTGCTGGTGTCTTAGTCTCCAGCCACTACCACGAGGCTGTTGTTCCTGGTGGAGAAGATGAATCTTTATTACTTAAAGCTGCGTCTCCTTCCCTGGGATGTACACCCTTCGGCTCCGGCTCTGCGCTCCGGAGTCACACCAAGCCAGCTCGTTGCTTCCTGAGGGCAGTCCTTCCGACAGCTAAAGGCTGCTGTCATATCAAGGCCCTTGAATTTTTTGAACGGTCTTTATCTATTATGATCTCTATTCACTTTGTTCTCCTGGGTGCTCTCCTGCATGCCAACTCTGTGCTAGGACTTTTTATGTATCTTTATTTAATCTTCCCAACATTCTGATAAGGTTGGCTTTATTTTCTCCATTTTACAGATGAGGAAATATAGGCCCAAGTTGGCGAAGAGACTTTCCTAATGTTACGTGACTAGTTTGTGCCAGAGCTGGGATTTGAAACTAAGGTTGACCAGAACATCGAAGCCAGAGCTATATTATGATTCCCATTTTACAGATGGAGAAACGGAGGCTTAGAGAAGTTCAGGACCTACCGAAATCACACAACATCAAGTGGTATAGCTGGGATGTGACCTTAGAGCCTGTGTTCTTAATCATTATGCCAAATACTGCCTTTCCACGTAATAATCATGCCTATGTCAGAACCTCGGCTGCTCAACACGGGGGCTGGCAGGCACACAGTCAGCAGCCAAAAGAAACCTGGTTAATATTATTATTGATATTATTCTGAGAACTGGACATTGCTCCTACCTAATATGAAATTTATATAGACACACCTATTTATGGACAAACATACCCACATTATACCCACATTATATCAAAGGGAATACATTTACAAACTTGAAATACTATAACTGAAGTTGCTGTTGTTGGGGGAGGGGAGGAGGTTTCAAAGCACCCTTGGGAGTGGCTGGTGCCGTTCAATACCACCAGTGTTTATTGAGCACTTATCACATACCCAGAAGAAGAGGGCCCTGTGTCAAATCTCATGGCTGTCTACTGACAGTCAACCCCCCTTTTACAGACTGACTCCGATTTTGTTTGGGTGTTGGGTGGCCATGTGCTTCATGGTCCTTCCCCATTAACAAAGGCCAGATGTTAACCATCTCGGACCTCTCACCCCTGATTGCACATTAGCATCACCCAGGGAGGTTTTGACACTATGGTTTGAGGAGAAGCATCCCAGACCAATAAAATCAGACACGCTCGAGGTGTGTGCGTGGGGGGTGGCAGGTGATTGTAATGTGCACTCCGGGCAGGTCTCAGCTAATTATGCTAATTCCAGTCCTCCTGCTGGCAGTTGCGTGAGGTGCCGCTGGCCCATGAGACATCGGGGGACGTGTGCCTCTCTGTTTCTACTCTCAACACTTTACTCCTGACACGTTTGGCCATCAGATGTGTGGTGGTTTTTCCTACACCAAGCAATTCTGTGACACCAGGTAGGTGTCCTGTGGATGTGTAATGTGCTGCGCTAACGATGTTGTGACCCTGACAGCTACATCACTAGGTGACAGCGATGTTTCAGCTCCAGCATAGTCTTATTGGACCCCTGTTGTATCTGTGGTCCGTCGCTGATGGAAAAGCCATCATGCAGCGTCTGACTGCAATCTGCTCTTATTCCTGGAGCTGCCCTGAGTTGGCACTGTTGTTACTTGCAGCTAATGTCATTCCTAGTTGTTATGGTCCCTAGAGAGCTTACGATGCTGCTGGGGAGAAGCTGCCGAGCATGGGAAGAGTTCATGGAGAAGAGGAGGGGAGGGGAAGGGGTGGGAGACTTGAGAGTGCAGAAGTGATTCAGAGCTTGGGCTTTGAAACCTACCTCTTCCACTTACCAGCAGTGAGACTTGGGGAACCGACTTAACCTCTCGGCCTCAGTGTCTCATCTGTTAGGTGGGATGGTATAAGGACCATATCATGGGGTTTTGTGAAGATCAGAAAGACATGTCGCCTGGTGTTTGGCATGTGGCAAGCTCTCGCAAAAGCTGTTGTGATGGTTATTCCTGAGGATGAATCGCTGTGAGAACCCCGGCTGCAGTCATGCTCCTGCCACCTGTCCTGACCAGCTAACGCGTCTTCTTCCCTCTGAGGTCTAGGCTCATCTGCTGCAGGCGTGTTGCAGACACCCCCTGGCAAAGCAGATCTCTTTCTTTCTGCTTGTGCCATGGCCTTGTTCTACGTGGTTCTGGATTTCAAGGCTCAGCTCTACCCTGAACCCAGCTTCCCCCCTTCACATAGATCCTGAATCGGTCTCCAGACTCATGGCTTTTTTCCTGGCCATGAATTTGGACTCCCTTGACTTACAGATCTTGAGGTCCCCATTCTGACCTGCCCCAGTGGGATGCTCTGAGGTTAAAACCTGCCTGCTGAAATGTTGGCTCAAGACTGCTGTGAGCCTCCGCCCCCGCCCCCGGAGCACGTCCAACAACAGAGGAGTGCGAACCGCCGGAGCCTGCCACAGTGAGAGATGCACCTGAAGCCTCGCGTATAATCTTTAATTCATGCGGACTTTGCAGCTGACTGCCTGACTGTAACAGGTCATTAGAATATAAAAGGTTTACACTAACTTACCATCTGGAAAGAATACAGAGAACTTCCATAGCTGCCCTATTGATTAATGCATGGGATGCATTTGCAATGACTCTAGCTATGTTTTAGTATTGGGCTGAATTGAAAAAGAGATCTCATTGCCCAGCAGGTTAGCTTCTTTCCTCTCTTCCAGGTTACAATATGTCAGAACCTCAGATCTCCGTAACTCTGTGGCTGTGAAGGGCAACAGTTCTTTTTGAGCCAGCTTTGGGTAATCATCGAAGAGAGACACCTGGAATAGTATCAAAGTGGTGGGTGTAGCAGGTAGGCTTCTGTTGGTAGGTTAGATAGCCCAGGAAATGCTGAGAAGTCATCCCTTGGCCAGATGATGCCTCCTGCTGCCCTCCAAGTCATTGACTGGCCTGTCCCTGCTTCTCATCTGGTCTCATTCATGTGACTTTAATCCTGCAACCTGTGTCTATCTGCCTCTGTCCTGTGTGTCAGATAGGATACAAGTAACAGAAAACCCAGGTAGACAGTGGCTTAAACCATAATGACACTGAATCATCTTAGTAAGAAGTCTTATCCAGAGTTGATGAACAACTCAAAAATGTCAACAAGCCTCTTTTGATCTTTCTGCTCGGCAATCCCCACTGTGCTTGCTTTTCTTAAGCTTATTACCTTTTGATGACAAGATAGCTGCCACAGCTCCAGCTATCGTCCTCCTGGCACAACCACATTCAAGGCAGGAAGGAGGAGGAAGGGGTAGTTTCTTCCACAAAGTGTCTCTTTTATTAGGAAGCAAAAATCCTTTTATCAGATTTGTCTTTGTCTCATTGGCTAGAACTGAATGGTGACTACAACGGAAACTGGGAAAGTGAGAATCAGGGGAAACCAAATGTGATTACTGTGTTGACCTTAGCCCAGTCTTGACTCATCTCCTGGGGCTAGAACAAAGCCAGGGTCCGTATTGAGGAAGAGGGGGAGATGGCTTCAGGGTAGGCAATGGCAGTATCTACCACAGTCTTTCTGATTTCCTGTGTCACCATCAACCTACTGGCTCAGGTTGTTGGGTGCACTCCATGCCTGTTGGAGGAGACCTGAGGTTCTGGCAAAGGGGTAGCGCACCTCCTGCTTGGGCACACCCTCCTTTGTAGCTGTTGATGTCCTCTTTGGTTATACAATCTGTCAAAAGGAAGAGATGTCCTCTTTCAACAAATTCCATAGAGTTTCACTCTCTTCTGGTCTGAAGGATACGAAGAGTGAGATAGAGTCAGCTCTCACCTCGACACATCTCGAAGACCGCTGACTCTTGAGAAGAGACTTTTCTGAAGAAAAGGCTGACCATTAGTTCCCACACCAAATTATTCCCCAAATAAAATCTGGGTAGAATGATTGTCCCTAAGATTGGCTGTTGTTATAGACAAAGAACTCTACGCACGGACATTGCTCTCCTGAGAGGGGCGTGGTTTCTCCTGCAGGCGAAGTATGGGCACAGACTCTATAGCTGGATGCCAAGATTTGAGTCCTGGCATGGCCACTGTGACCTCGGGCAAGTCCTTGAACTTCCCTGGGGCTCTGCTTATCCCATCTAAATGGAGACTTCCTGGGGTTGCTGTCAGGATGAACTGGGGTGATGAGGCCAAGGGACTTTAAAGGGAGAAGTCTGTAGGGCTCCGCAGTGCCAGATACTTCTTGCCTTCGAGGCTTCCTTCATGAGCACATTCAATTATGTATTTGCACTTGAAGTTGGCCACCTGGTGGCTGACTATGTTAGAAATCAGTCCCATGGCTCATTTGAGAGTACACCTTATTGGCCTTTTTGCCTCTTTTTAAGCTTTTCCAAAGAGCTGGTACCAGGTTTCTAGCTTCTAGATTTGTGGGTAACTGTGAGAGGCCTTTCCCCTCTTTCCTTCCATTAGTATTTTTTTTTATTATTGTTGAGGAAGAATTTATATACAGTGAAGTCCACAAATTTTTATAGGTACTGTGCAGTGTACGTATTTTCCCATATGTATACACCTGTGTAAGTACCATCCAGATCAGGGTATGAAACATTTCTATCACCCTAGGAGGCCCCCTCCCCATTACCACCTCACAGTCTCTGTCCTGTCCCCACTGCACTGACCCAGCTTGTCCTCACATCACTCATACACTGTTCTTGAACTTCATATGAAGTGGTGTCATATACCCTGAACCTTACATTGTCCTCTCAGTACCTTCACTTTTATTTCTCTTTTATGGACCAATTTTAGGCAGGCTGCCTGCCACTCTTTCTGACAGGCAGAGCCTCTTCCTTCTGGGACCTCACCCATGACAGTCCACTGTTGTCCCTTGAGATGGGCAGAACCCTCAGATATGACTCCTTTTGCAGGGGGTGTCCCGGGACATGCGGACACCTCCAGTGGCCCCTGGCTGGGCCTCTCCCCCCTCTTCCTGCTCCCTGGACAGCTGTGAGACTCGGATGGCTTTTGCCAGTGCCGGGCTCCAAGGAGCTGGCCCTGGGCTCCCTGAGCAAAGATTCTGAAGTGGCCTGAAGTGGAGACAAGCTGAGGAGCTCTACAAAATAGTGCGGGAGAGCTGGATCCAGGTCTTGGCAGGAGTCAGGAGAGGCTGGGGGGACTTAAGGGGTGAGTGGGTTAAGCTGGAGACCCAAGAGAGGTCTGCACATTGGGCATGCTCACAGAATCAGGGTTGCTGGAAGCAGCCGTTAACCAGGTTGGGTGAGTTAGGCATTAGCTCCTCCTCCTCAGAGAGAGTGAGGGGGTGGGGCTCTCAGACAGGGCCCACCCCTGCTGACTGACACCGCGACCTGAGGTGCCCTGTTGCCCACCTGCCACACCATGTCTTCACTTCTTTGCTCATGTAGCAACATTAACTGGGACCCCCCCCCTGGGTGTGCCAGGCACAGTGCTGGCACCAAGGGTTTTAACATGAACATAAGGTCTCCCAACCCAAGGGGCTCACTGGCTAGAGCCGGATGCAAATGGATGGCCCACTGGAACTCAGATTTAGTCCTCAGATGTGCTTGCTTTGGCCCCCCTCATTTAAAAATTGGAAACTGCCTATAAAAATCTGACTTCTGGCTTCTCTTGACAAATCAGAAGATCTGGAAACCCTGGTCTGCCTTCCTACCTGGCAGCAGCTGGTGGGACTGAGACAAGGCTGCTGCCTCCCTGCCCTCCCAGATGGGCACAGCTGACCCGCTGCTGCAGTGCCCACCGCGCCCTGTGGCCTCACGCCTGGTCGTCTTCACCCAGTGCTTCTTCACCCAGGGCTTCTCCACCCAGGGCTTCTCCGCCTGGCCCTGTAGAGGGTGGAGCTATTTGCATGGGAGGAATCAATGCAGACTTCACAGAGGAGGGCGGTGGGTCTTGATCTCCTGTTAGAGTGTGTTCCCCTCCAAGTCTTCTCAGTCTTCGCTTCTCAGGGTGGACGGGTTCATCAGATCCTCTCCTGAGAGAGGACTCACAGCGTGTTGGAGTGGGGCATGAGCGGGGAGCAGATGCTGAGGTGACACGCCAAGGCCCCTGGAAGTGGTTCTCAAAGTATGGGCCACCTGGATCAGTCACCTGGGGATGCTGGTTTCAAATGCTGGCCTACTGCAGAATCTGGGGCACACCCAGGGAATTGCTGAGGTCATTCAAATTTGACGACCACAAAGAAGAGGAGGCTGGGGCTGAGGGGTCGGTGAGGTCAGACACAAAGCATGGTTTCTAGGGCAAGACCGGGGATCCCACTCCATCTCTCGGCCTGTCTGTGGGGACTTGTTGTGAATACCCCCCTCTGGGCACAGCTGAGGCCCTCACACGCTAAGGGCACGAGAAACATCTCCAGCCTCCCTGCCTGCCCCTGCACCTGGAGGAAAGGTCATGCTTGCCTTTGCCAAGCCTTGTCATTTCCCTGAACCTCTGAACTCTGCCCTGGGCATGGGGCCAACTCCAGGAAGTGGGACAGTGGGTGGCTGGCAGGGAAGGGCCACCTTGTCTCCTCTTCCCCTTCTCAATCAGGTGGCCTGACAGTTGCTGGGCCCTGGCCAGGGGGCTGGAACCATGGCCCTGTGCGGGGAAGGAGGAGGATTTGGTGATCTGTTCACGGAGAAGATGCCCCCTGAGCTGGGGGCAGGGCAAGGGCCCTGGCCTACTTCCCTTCGGAGCCTGCCACTGTGGTGTGGGAGGTGTGTGCTGGGTGGGGAGTGAGTGAGCACTCATTCTCAGGGTGGAAGTAAAGGGGGTGACCCCGAGAGTGAGTGCCTGCTGAGAGTGAGGTGCCTGGGGAGCACAAGGTGAGGAGGCCACCCTGCACTTGGAGAACCTGAGTGAGTGCCCCTTAAATGTCACCCACTCGCCTTCCCTAGTCCTCGTCCCACCCCCTGGGCGCTGCACCTCAGGGAGTCTGAGACCGGCCAGGATTGCAGGCAAGGGAGGGGGTTGGCGAGGCATTGAGGGCGTTCTTGTCTCTAGGACGAGACCACTGGTTCTCAAGCTTGGCTGTACCAGGGAAACTCCTGGAAGCTTGACAGAATCCTGCCATCTAGGCCCCACCCCCAGAGGTTTTTATTTAATTGATCTGGGGTGCAGCTATTGGGGTTTTAATTTTATTATTTTATTTTTAATGAGCTAGGCTCTACACTGAATGTTTTTTTTAAAAAAATATTTGTATTGATTTTTAGAGAAAGAGGAAGGGATAAAGAAAGAGAAGCATTAATTTGCGAGCAAAACATTGATCAGCTGCTTCCTGCATGCCCCCCACTGGGGATTGAGCCTATGACCTGGGCATGTGCCCTGACTGGGAATTGAACTGGTGACCTTTCAGAGCACAGGAGGACACCCAACCAAATGAGCCACACAGGCCAGGGCCATTGGGGCTTTTAAAAGCTCCCCAGGGATCCTCGTGTGAGAACCTCTGATGTGGACGGGCAGGGCAGGTGCTGTTTCCCACTTTCCTTTCACTGGTTTTCAGGCTGCCAAGCACCACACAGACTTTCACCGACAACACAAGAAAACCTAGCCCACAACGGATGGGGTGGTAGGAGAGTGGAGGGAAAACCTGAGCTCTAAGGTCCCAGTCTGTGCCAGGTGCCACTCGTTTGTTATTTAACAGCCAGCCCTAGGGGGTGAGTGTTCCCAGGCTCGGTTTCCAGGTGAGGAGCCTGGGTCTC